CCAGGATGTTGAGTTGACTGTGATATCCACACGTGCCAGTGGTACGTAACACAAGATCTACTGGTATATAATACACTGAAGACGAGTGTGTGACGAATTCTAGCAGGACGACTTCGTGCATTTCAATCACATTCAACATTAATTGAATTTTTATTATGTATTGTTACTTACGTTTCACTAATTCTGAGAACATTTAGAAAAGTTTTTTTTAGATGAATTTACACTCAACAGAAGAATCAATGTATTTGTATACAGTCTGCACATTGGTACCGTCATTATAAACGACAATAGTAAACGTGGAAATATAAACTGGTGTTAACATCTAGACTCTCCATGACATTAATTTACATCTGTAATTCCAATCATTCCATGCTGCTGATTCAAAAATATAAAAACATGGTTTCAGGGGCTGTTTTTCATTTTTACTTCGACAGATAAGAGTTGACGTCTTGTTCGATATCATACTTTATTGGAATAGTTTGAATGTTTCCTTCCTCTGCAGTTGAGTTTTGACTGTGTCGTATTCTATAAAACTGTCTCGGTGAAACGTTTGGGTGCTTAATGCCTTCCTCGGCAGATGCTACAATCGGCCACGCCCTCCTCTTAATCTATTTCACAGGGAAAATTCTTGGTGTTAATTTCCTGTTTATGTGAGATATTACCTATGTCCTATACTAAATCGCCCTTTCTAAGAATATTTAAAAGTTTTCTTTTCTTCACCCGGAGAGTTTGACAGACGCCCCAATCATTCATTTGTTTAATCTTTTGCTACAAATACCGAATAACGATTTTAAAGTGACGTCCTGTTATGTCTATTGTCACTGGAAAGTTGCTGCGTTGTTGCATTAATTTTGAAACCATTAAGATATACCTGTAAGCCAAAGCCTAACCCCTTCTGTTCAAATATATAAATAAGAAAAGAACAAATATACTCCTGCCTAGACAATAAAGGAATGAAGTTTTTTTTAATTCACTAATCTTGAAATAAGTCTGAAAGTTACGGATCCGTTATAGACACCAAACTCTTAAAACATTACAAATGATGCGAATGGTAATTTCAACCACAGAGGAGATGTGAAAAGTGATATATTTCTTAGTATTTGAATAACTCATCCCAATATTAGTATGATCAGCAACCTAAATTACAGATGAGAGAGAAAGAGACAGAGTAGGTATCAATAGGACTCAATAGTCCAAGGGAAACAACTCTTGTATATCAAAATGAAAAATTGATATGATTAAAAGCTTCAGTTTCTAAAATCTACGAAAACAGTGATTTGTCACTTTTCTCCTACTTACCTTTACTTGGGGTACTTTTCTTTTAATGAATGGTTATTGATCCCAGAGTTCTTCAGAAATCTGGAGACTGGAAGGGTCGCGTCACACTCTCCCATTCCTGAGAACAGACATTAGTGTTTGGTTTAATACTGTCTGTCATTATGTATAATGTTAGCAATTAGCTTATGATTGATATAAATCTTTAAAATCATATTCGTTTCCTGTATTCAATGTATGTGCCTTTCTTTTCAGCCGATGGTAATGTTGTATAATCCTAGTATGTAGTCATGGTAATGTTGTATAACCCTAGTATGTAGTCATGGTAATGTTGTATAACCCTAGTATGTAGTCATGGTAATGTTGTATAACCCTAGTATGTAGTCATGGTAATGTTGTATAATTCTAGTATGTAGTCATGGTAATGTTGTATAAGCCTAGTATGTAGTCATAGTAATGTTGTATAACCCTAGTATGTAGTCATGGTAATGTTGTATAACCCTAGTATGTAGTCATGGTAATGTTGTATAATTCTAGTATGTAGTCATGGTAATGTTGTATAATTCTAGTATGTAGTCATGGTAATGTTGTATAACCCTAGTATGTAGTCATGGTAATGTTGTATAACCCTAGTATGTAGTCATGGTAATGTTGTATAACCCTTGTATTTAGTCATGGTAAGGTTGTATAATCCTAGTATGTAATTGATTATTAAAAAAGAAGAAAGCGAAAACTGATTATCATATTGATTGTGTGTAGTACAGTAATAACATTGATAAGAAATAAAAATGATAGTTGCAATCACTTATTACTTATAGGTGTTGTTAATATCAGTCATGCACTTACTGACCTTTTATTAGCCGATTCCCATGTCACGCATAGAAGGAAATCACAACAAAGACTGTGATTTAATGTCGGTTCCGGAAACCATTCTACAAATATTTTACAAAAGTAAGTGCACAAACATATCAGTTAGCTGGTATTATATTATTATAACACAAAAGAGACACACTTCCTTTTCCCAAAAAAACAGGAAATATAAACGATGAACCGTTTTCTGGTTAAATGAGTAGGGAAGTCCATTTATCACACTTGTATATTTACATGTGAAACACATGTACTCATAAAAAATATTGTATACCGGAAAACAAAGTGTTAATTCGATGAACAACTCATCTAATTAGTGTTATTGTAATTCGTATGAGTATTAACGATCACGTTTCTACTTACTGTAATCTCCTGATTTAGGTAGTAGAAGTCGACATAACACTGAGACCGATCAAACCTGGACTAGTAGTACAAACACTGATACACGAACATTCTGTACTTCTGGTATCATAACGTTCCAATCTAAAATAGTGTATTCATCCATCTCACTTCAAATGTGAACCGGTAGACAATGGCCGTCTCGTCACACCGAAGACGGGCGTCATTTTAAAAAGATTAGTAAACAATTGGTGTCCACGAGTACAAAGTAGCAAGTCGATTTGTCAGCTTAACAATGTCTTCAAAAATGAAATATCGATTTCTAAGCTTTTTCTAACATTCTTTTATTGAAAAAATATTTATACGCTTCGATCACTAGAGATACAATTACCCGAGTCCAGAAAAGTAGCCCCAGGTTAAATCAACATTACCTGTGAAATGATTTTAGTATCCTTATTTCACAGGCTATGTTGATTTAACCCGGCCTAGTTTCTTCGACTCGGATAATTATAAAGGACCTTACTGTCGTATTAAATTAACAATACTATTGAAACAATTACTTTGATGAGGATGTTACTATAAAGTACATGAAATTCATGGACAAACTATTGGTCGACTCTTTAAACTGGGCATTTAGAAAACTAACTTTCTAAAATATCTTTTTAAAGAAATAGTTCACAGTATGTTAATTATACGTTCTGTACACTGGTACTTGAAAATATTTTCAGTAAAATATTACCACGTATCTAAGTCCGCGATACTACACTCCATCATTCATTACAGAGTCGTGTCAGAGTTTACTCGCCTGTGCGTTTGGTAGGTGTATTGTTGATGACGTATAGACGATTGGTAGTTAACTGACTATTAGCGTGTATTATTAATTTAGACGACCACGTGATACTCAAGCTTAACACGCTGTAATTACTGCATTGTTACACCATCAGTTGTGATGCTTATTAGTCGGACTGGAGAGGTGGACGTCACAGCGATACCTGTCAAGTGTCGACAACTCTGTCATTCTTGCTCAGTGTCGTTATTATTAGACATCGTTCACCACCTGTTGTAGATTGCCGCGCAGTCTACACAAATACGTTGTGACATTTTAATTATCCTATAACATCGTACATCGTTAAAATCCCTTAAATTTAAATCATGACTGTGTAAGTCTTAAAGGTACACCACAACGCACATTTACAACATAACCACCCATTTTACTTGTCAGTAGCTTAATATATATTTGTACTCTGAAGCGGTTTTCATTGACTCCGATTCATTGTGATGTCTTAATAGTAACAATAGCGTTACGACATGAATTGTAAATAGTGCCACAAAATGGTTGCATCCGCTTGGTTCTGTCCTCCACATTTTCAGTTTTATAACTTTTCTTAGATAAGTGATAAATGTATTTAAAATCTGTTTTAATTTCATATGGCATTTTCATGAAACTCGTCTTGAATTTTTAATATAAATAAAAACATCTTAGACTTCATAAAATCCCGTATGAAATGAAAAATCACTTAAGATCCTGTATTTATTCCATCCCTCCTTGTTTATGAAGTTTTACTGGTAAAACCATACTATGTTTTGATACATTGTATGTCATCAACATGACATAGAACTCTTTACACAACATGATACAGAAATCGCATATTTATCGTTTATCTTATACTTAATGGAAACCACGGGATAAAATTTGATGAAATTGAAGGAAAGAACTGTGTTGTATTTTTCTTATTAGTTTTTTAATCAACAGTATATATATGCTATTATGCATTGACAAGTTCATTAAGCTACAACATGCATTTCGCTTCAAAGAAAAACTACGGTATTCGTGCAAAAGTGGGGCAATAAAATGTCAACGGAAACTAAAATCATTGTTTTTACAATCAATTCAATATCATTTCAGTGTCAATTCAGTTCAATTCCAGTCTACATTACAATGCTTATTAAAGTAAATACACTGTTGCACACAGGAGGTGTGTAGTACACTACAGTCAACATTACACAGCTGTCATTATTAACACTATGTAATTGGGCAAGTTTGATTACACTTGAATGATATGGCTTCAGATATCTAAATGGAGATCCACCCTCGATATTACGAGTGTCACATCTGATATAAAATACATATGACCTAGTAGTTTTCTGGTAGCTTCCATTTTCAACGTTAAGTTTCTATCGTAAATATCATACCTAGGCACTCGTCGGTATCGTGCGTGTATAAATACTACGGCGATTCTGATTGGCGAGTCGAAGTACCCCGAGTTGATCTCGGGTATTTACGTCAATATTTTTTCGGCGTCTATAGTTACAATGGCGGCTTGACGACACGTTGTTATTATTTACCGTAGCGATAGACGGTAGGTAATCAATGAAACGAATCGTTCAGCGATTAGCGAAGAAGAACAACAGTAGGCCCAGGGGAAATTTAAAGGTAGCCATTGCACACGGGAGGCGAGGCGGTAAGATCAGCCATCAGAGAGAGAACAGGTGCACGGCAGGATCCGGAACACAAGAACTGGGATTTATGCAGAAGATTTGCTGAAAGTTTGGATTGAACGTTTTTTTATGTTAGTTTTGTCATAAAATGGGTTGTAAACAAGGAAAACAGGTCCAGATACAGCCTGTCGGAGCTGCTGAGGTTAGACATGACAACATCAACATTAGGAAAACAAAGAGTGAAATTTCAGAATATGACATTGACGAAAAAACAGGCTTAAAAGTGTCGAAAAAGAACAACAAAAGAACAAAATCTTCAAAAAGTACCAGGAGCAAGGATTCATTAGGTTCATGCCTTAGTCTAGAGGAAAGAAACTCCATACCAGATTCAGCGAGAGGCAACTCCGCCACATCCAAATTCTCAAAAAATAGTGCTGATTCAGGCTTCGGAGCTGAGTATGCCCACGTTATAACTGAGGAGTCGGACACAAGCCGAGTTAGGGATGTGGAAAACAGTTTCGTCCCCAACGATTCACTGGGTAAGTAAAGGGATCACAACAACCTTTCTGATATACTCCGTTTCCACACAAACATTTCATTTATACCCTATCACTCTACTCTGTCACCTCACCCCAAGTCCCACCCAAACTTCACCTCCGTCACCTCATTTCATATTCCCATCTCGCATTTACAATGTCGTCATAAAACTGTTACTATGTATTCACATGCACCTACTTCTTTGTTATCACTTTCATGTGTATAGCCAAGTAAAACTGTGCGTGGGTCAGAACCGATAAAAACTCTATCAATCCTTGCTATGTCAAACTACAGAATACATGGTAGTTTAAACAAGTGGTCTGACGGAATATGAGTTAGTGGGGGCGGGAAAACGTTAGGTATATTTCATTTGAATTCACCCAGTTTAATGCATTAAACTACACCAACAGTACCTATAATGTGATTGTAAACTGCATAAAACTAAATGTTACTCAGACCAGTCTTTAACATCATCATAAAGCCTCTATCACCCCTCGACTCAAGTTAGTCTCTCATTTATCAACACCACCACCTTATCCTGCACCATTTTTACCCACAAAATTATACCCGGATCATCATTCGCAGCAATACATTTCGCAGTATATAATATACTTTTGTATTATCTTGGCATGTAAACATGTAGGCTGCGTGTGTGTAGCTTTGCATGAAAATCATGCCCGGTTCATTTAATATTGATCAATTGGCATTGTTTTGTTGTATGTTAATTAAAGTATATTGTATTACGGGGACCGTCGTTTATTGTAGTACATGGGTTAGTCTATACAATCGATATCTCTGTATACAGGTCAGACATATTACAGGTGATACAAGTGTCTGACAACAACCTTCAGATAAGGTCGAACAAGACCCCAAACATTACACCTCAAATTAAATTATATATATTTTGTCATTAAGTCTTTTAGAGAATCGATTTGAGTTTGTGGTGATCAATGTTTTAATACAAGTTCCAACCTGACGACCAGTGTATATATATGATTAAGTTTACATTTTTGAAAACTAGTTTAATCCGTTTATAGTGCAGTAGACTTTGTATAAACTAAAGTTTGGACTTTGAACAACAATCTGTTCGTAGTAAGAACACGTTTTACTAAACCACGACGAATGCTCAAAATTAAAAAAAACAATCTTTGATCCGAAATTAGTTCCTACTGTCCTTAACTCTGAGTTATAACTAATGATAGATACAAGAAGATGGAACTTGTCGGTAAATTTGCCGTATAAATATATTAGTGCGAAGTATTCGGTCAAGTGTCCACTTTAATTCCTCGAATTATCCATCCATCCATCCATCCATCAATCCATTCAATCAATCAATCAATCAATCAATCAATCAATGCATACAAAAATTCAGTCTTCATGTTACAAATAATGATTACTAATTGAATGAAAGAGAACGATAAAATAGTAAAAACGAAACTTGGCAAATATTTATCACAAACGTGTTTTTACCACAAATTGGGAATTATGAATTGGAGGTGGAGACCCAATATATCTAGCTTTCGGTCAGTCCACTTTCAATGTATTTTTTTCTAGATTAATTTGTAGAATTATGAAACGTTATGTAATTATGTAAACATTTTGAAGATACCTTTAAACCTCTGAGCTACCATACAGCCTCAGTAACTGATGTGCTATTATGACCCACAGAACTTGGAATCACTGGCACGGCCTGTCCCACCCGCCTTAGTGCCAAGGATAAGGATCGTATGGAGGAGTCAATGGTGCTTCAGTCTCTCCGGGAGGAGGGATTAATTGCCCGTCCACATGCAAAATCCTCCGGGGGTACAAGCTTCGAAATTGTGGCGGCAGAGGATTCGCTTCTCGGGGAAAGAAACGGTATACCTCGGCCACCACCAAGATTAGCCAAGTTGGAAAGACGACGAAAAAAGAAGAAACAGCTGACAGAAGAAGAAATTAGGGAAAAACTTGAGAAAGCTGAAAGGAGGAAAAAGGTCAGTTGTTATAAAGTCAACAGAAATTGTACAAGATATTTTGTATGTATTAAAATTAATATCTATAAATAATCAAAAATAGATATCTTAACCATCTTATAACTCTGAAGAATATGGCGACTAACAAAAACAAATTGTGTCATTTTGTTTGATTAACTTCAACCTGGCATTTTGTGTGTTCCTTTGGTAGGTTTAATCTTCTCTTAAGCATTTGTTTCCCTTTTTTAATTCGTTTAGCTGCTCGATGGCTTCTTGCCTACAAAGCTTAATGTCTAAAAGACGTATAAATCACCTTGAATTATATCGCCATTTGTTCATTGAGTCAAATATTTCTTAAACATTTGTGACCTATCATAAATATTTACGACTTATTTACGACTTTCGTTCACAGCGTAAAGAACAGGAGCGTCTGGAAAAGATCCAGAAACTGGAAAAAAGCAAAGACAGCGTAACTCACGCGCTTGAGAAATTCATGGTTAGTCAGGAAAAGAAAGATAAGGAAGTTCACCAGAAAATAGACACTGTAGCCGATAAACGTGAAAAGAGGCTTCAAGAAATCAAGGAAAAAATGGCGAAGCGAGAAGCCCACGCCGCCATGGTAAGGAAACGTAAGGAACAGGAAATGCTTCAGGGCAACACAAACCCCATGACGAGCGAGTATCCAGAGGGGGAACAAGGTCAATGATATATACCCTAGTCATATAATTACCTTTAAACTGTGAACACGATCGACAGGAAACTTGTCACTTATAATCCGTTAGTAACGTAACTGTTACCTGGAATTTAATTACTATTATGGAATGCACTGTTTAGTCAGCAGCGACTGTTTCAGCTACATGGATGTTTCCGTATTGGTAGTTACATTATATGTAGATACCTGAGGAAATGAGTTAAATGTTGATATGTCAAATTATCAACTACATATAACGAATAATTCGGGATCGGAATCATCCGATTGGTATTTCACGTATACTGTATGCTTAAAGTGTGTCCAAAATAATACTACTGTTCGTTTGAAAAACACAATCCTGGTTGCACACTTCCGCTTCCGGTACAGTTTGCCTCAATTGTCACAGAAGATGTTGTTTACGAAAAGGTGTTTCCATTATGTAAAAAAAGAGTGTGTAGCTTGTAAGGCTTTTGGATCTACCGGTCATGGACCTTCTACAACTTTCGGAACAAGACTTTTGTTTTTGTTTTTTTTTTTGACGAAATGACATTTGAAACAACCATGCATATTGAATATAGACCATGGGGTTAGATATTTCTAGAAACTCGGAAACGAAAATAAGTATATATATGCGATTGTCAGTCCATCAATGTGATGATCGACATGTATGTTACAGATAAATATTCTGTAATACCATAGATTGTTATCAGTGCAAATTACAACTGCACAGTCACTAGAATTTGCTATCCTAGCTGTGATGAATAGAGTGTTTTAAGTTGTTACTGTGCCAGTTCTCTCAAGACTGGACCCGGTTCCAGGAAAGATAGATAACATTTTTTATCATCTACAGATACTGTTTCGAAATTTTTTTCTATAAGAATGTTAGAGTTATATCTCCATAACATGAACGATTTTGAGCCATGTGGTTTTTTTTCTTTTCTAAATTAAGACACCTCTTTGCTTTCTATTAGACAAACGCAGCTAGAGTTGTTGTGAGACACATTGATCAAGGAAGCATCTATTTTCGTGCTATGTAAAAATAACTCTCTTGATCTACCTCAGCGTCCGACGTGCAAGGGCAACAAAAAGGGGTAATGCCTGTTATCTGGGCATTTGTGATAATCGTTTATGTTTTAAAAGTTTATTAGTGTTTTGAAAGAGACAATCATGCCAACTTAGAGATAATTTATTTTGGACCTGTATAACGTTATCATAACGTGATGAAAATGAATCTTATCTCAGCATAATAAATCTTAGATAATCATTATCTTCAGAACTGATTAATAGTTGTGTTAAGTTTGAAGTCTTTAATCTTCATCTCTAACGCATGTATTCTTTGTTTACCGTCCTATACTACAGCATTTGTTTATCCTCGTTAAACCCTGTCATTTTTGTATTTTGTGATTTGATTGTAGGTCAATTCAGTTTTCATTTCTACTGAATATATATCTCACATTCTATTTCTTTTGACCTCACTGACGATGGATTATGAATTTTAATTAATGTTTAAATTGAAGCAATTTGAGACACGGTATCACGTGACCAGAAAAGCTCAATTAGGAACACTAATTAATGACATGATTATCGATCAACTTTCAGGTCTAGTTTTTATAAGACTAATATATATGTGATTGTTAGATTTTCACGGAATATTGATTTTTGATTGATTTCTATATCGATTTTTATGTGTATTATTTATTCATTATTTTACATGAAATACAATGGTGTATGGGTATATAAGATAAATTTAACTCCAACAGCTCATTACTAGGTTCTAGGGTGCGACCGAAAATTACAAAATTAAAAAAAAAATCTTATTTTCGAACTTTTCTTGGCGTGTCATTTGGATGGGACTTAAGATGCGATTAATACAATACATTTTCAAAATTTACAAGGACAAACTGAAATACATTCTTCTTAAAACTGTTGATATTCATTTGTCATTATTTGTAGAAAACTAACGTATAGAAGCAATACCAATCAAGACATAATGAATTTCTTTAATGTTTAAATCTGGTTTCTTAACCTGGCATTATGTGGGTCATACATATAGATACGTAGGTGGGAAAGGATATTATGTATACCTGTATACCATTGTAATGTTCTTGTGTAAGGTAATCCCATTTGAAGCAGTATTACTGTAAGGTCCATAATGGGCTATATTGTTCGTTGATCTACACATATTTCGTTAAATCCTAATGAAATAAAAAATCAAATAGATTTTGTTTCAGTGTTCTTTTCTGTTCATTGTTTTTTGGATTAGAGACATAAGCTAAGGTAATCCAATACCTTGTAAAGGACACAGGTTTAACTGTGATACCTGCGGTGTAGAATTAGTACAAATCTTGCCAGTTCAACTACAAATCACATTACATATGTATTTCTGGTTAAAAAACAAATCCCTTGTTCGTAATCGGCCATTGAGTTCAAATCATTTTGGGTTGAAGAAATTTTTGTTTTAGACCAATTCTTTATTTACACCTGTCTGCTCAGTAAATATACGTGTGTTGTGTGATTTGTAAACCTCAGAATTAAGCTTTGTAAAATTCAACGGTACACAATACAGATATACTGATTCGGAAGTTTAAAATTCAGAAACGTCGTGCTACGCTACTTAAAGCTGATCAAGTCAGGACACGATGTGTGTTAAGAGTTTGAACACATCATGCAGGCCGATAACGGTTTAAAGTGGGTAAAGTCGACGGGAGAGGAAAAAGGACGCTTTTACATATAATATATTACTGTTCTGCCCCCTAACGGAAGTTACTTTAAAGAGACATGAACTACACGTGTAATTAAACATATTTCTGGTCTTTTACCAAGGTTAAAGGTTAATGTGACTATGAAACACGTACCCCACAATCCCAACTCGTCGTGTCAATGCTTCTATAATTGATCATAATTTAATCATTAACCCATTATACTAAAATTTAAAATGTCACCATTTTCTTTCACAGTTGAAACTAAATTTCTTCGGGCTAGAGATACTAAAATGACGAATTGATTTACATAATAGGGTTTAGCTTTCTACGTCTTAGCTTTTCCTAAAACCTCGTACATTTAACTTTATAACGGTTAGTGAGATAAACTTGTGTATATATTTATATATATACTTTGTCCTTGCTAATACGTTCACGGTGACATGGACGAGGGTGTTTTCCATTACAATAGAGTAATGGTTTGTGAAGTACTCGATACGCCTTGGAATGTATATTTTCCTTTAAAATTTCATGTGAACTTTAATTTTGAAAGGCACATATTTAAATCGCTTTTAAATTTTCTATCGCTCACAAAGCTATGTGAAAACTGAATCCTTGGCGGCTGTTCATAATGCACTATGAATGATATTTTAACAAAGCTGTTTTGTTAGTACTCAACCAAAATGTAGAAACATCGTTAATAAATCCTTTATATATTAATTAGTCATCGTACTTATCGGTGGTGTCGACTCATGGCTCGAATGTACTTTAAATAGTATGACAGAGATAATAATTTCTTAGTAGTTTGGTCATTACGGTTCTTACCCATTATCTTCAAACCTCAAACCATGACCCTCCCCGAAGATAGTATTACCCCCAGACCTGCTAAAGAGGTTTACATAAATATCCCCCTAGAAAGAAGTATCTTAAAACGTCATACCCCCTCCACCCTAAAAGAAACACTACTACTCTAAGGAGCACTAATTCAAGAACTCATCTGAAGATCGCTACTTCAGAACCTTCAAGAACACCACTAAGACCCTTCTTGAGAACACTACCTTCAGGACCCATGCAGATTACTAGCAATATACCACTTTATAGATCATTGCAATTGTATCTTCAGACCCCTCTAGATATCAATACCTTCAGACTCCTCTAGATATCACTACCTTCAGACTCCTCTAGATATCACTACCTTCAGACCCCTTTTGATATCACTACCATCATACCCTTCTAGATATCACTACCTTCAGACTCCTTTAGATATCACTACTTTCAGACACCTCTAGATATCACTACCTTCACACCCTCTAGATATCACTACCTTCAGACTCCTCTAGATATCACTACCGTCAGACCCCTCTAGATATCACTACCGTCAGACCCCACTAGATATCACTACCTTCAGACCCCTCTAGATATCACTACCTTCAGACCCCACTAGATATCACTACCTTCAGACCCCACTAGATATCACTACCTTCAGACCCATCTAGATATCACTACCGTCAGACCCCTCTAGATATCACTACCTTCAGACCATTCTAGAGTGCGCTACCTCGAGAAATCCTGTAAAGGTCACTATCTCCTGAGACCCCAGAAAGAACTCCCTCCATTTGCTGTCAAGATAACTATTTCCACACCACTCTAGAGACACAATCTTCAAATAACTATTTTTATAGATTATGTAATGATAACTATTTTCAGACCACTCTAGAGATACGATCTACAGACGCCTTAGAAAATACTACCTCAGACCCCTCTAGTGGATAAAACTTCAGACGCGTTAGAAATTACTTACTCTTGGAACACCTAAGACAGCATTGCCTCCAGACTCCCGAAATAGTGCTGGCGACAGACCCCACTAAGAAACAGTACTTCCAGATTCCCTCTTAATATCACTACCTCAACATCGTTCTCGAGAACACTACCTCCGGACCCCTCCAGACATCATTAACATTTAATTAAAAACCCCGCTAGAGGTCCTACTTTCAATGCCTTCTACGGATCACTACATGTACCTCCAGGCCACCCTACAGATCACTACTTCTAGACCCTCAAGTGGTCACTTCTTCTCAACCCCTCCCCAGAAAGAACTACCTGCAGACCCCCATGAGAATACTACCTCACAGACCCCTCTAGAGATCCTTATCCCTATTTTCTCTAGAGATCACTGCTCACAGAGCCCATTGAGAAAGCACTGTCTACTGATTGCAGACTCTTCTAAAGCATTTATCACTGTTATGAATCAGCAAAATTTACAATACTGGGTCTGTTCTTTACTAAACTGATGTACAACAAAGTAGAAAGAATCCA